TCTGCCAGATGGATCCACAGGTCTCTCTCTTTTCTTCACTCCCCACCCCCTCCAGCCCTGCAGAAACCTCACATGTCCCTTCATTTTTGAGATACGTGGAGCAAATTTAGACTGGCTGGGTATAGGTCCTGTAGGAGGGAGCTCAGAAAGGGCTCTCTTGAGAAGTTGGGATATGAACTGAGATCTGAACGGTGAGTGAAGGGTTAACATACTGAAAGAGAGAGAGGAGTTGGGAGGAAAGTTTTCCCAACACAGGGTGTATATGTAGCAAGATCTAATGGCAGGGAAAAAAAACTGAGAAAAAGTAAGTAACAAACATTACCATTTAGGAATAAAATTGTAATTATAAAAGAATATGTACTCTTGGGTTTTGGTGTATGAGACCTCAGAAACCTATACCTACATTAACTCTTACTACACAGAGTGGAAAATGTATGAGAAGCATAAAACCTTGGGCTTGAGTGCAAGCCTGACCAATTACCAGATGTATGGTCTCTGGTAAGTTATGTCACCTCTTTATGCATTACTTATATCATTTGGAAAATAGAGATTATGATAATACAACTACTTGCCCCACCTGTCTCACAGCATTGCTGTAAGGGTATAATAGGAAAATGGACATGAAAGTGTTTTACAAACTATAAAGAACTTTAACATGTACATTATTACTAGTGTGTTTGTAACTAAATCTATTCACAGTACAATTTAACATTTTGTTTTAGAGACTTTTATTGAGACAAAGTGGCAAATACTAAGTGTTCTTCTCATTCATAATTGTATGTATCTGCATACAGGTGAACCAAATGAACACACCAAATATAATCAATTATATAATAGTGAATACAATCTTTCTTCCCTACAGCAGTAAGAAGAACAGCTAACAATTTACTCTCAGACAATAATAATTTAAGTGCTATATGAGAGACACCTGGTAGCAAATGACCAAATGAAGTAAGGACCACCTAGGACAAAATAGGAGCCTAAAGTTAGCCCAGTCATCACTCCCTGCTTACGCCCTTAACCAGCCCAATGGTATTCGTTAAGGATAAAATGAGATAGCTAATAGCTGAGGAGACTTCTCATTCAATTCTTAAAATTTTATGGTAAAGTCCACATTATATGTCATCAGGGAAATGCAACGTAACAACAGTGAGAAACCACTACACACCTATTAGAATGGTCAAAACTCAGAACACTGACATCACCAAAATTCACGAGGATGTGGATCAACAGGAACTTTCATTCATTGTTGATGCAAATGAAAAATGGTACAGCCACTTTGGAAGACAGTTTGGGGGTGTCTTACAAAACTAAACATACTCTTACCATATGACCCAGCAATCATGCTCCTTGGTATTTTCTCAAAGGAGTGGAAAACTTATTCCACACAAAACCATGTACATGGGAGATCCCCCCTGAAGGAACAAGGGGTTCCAGCACCAGACCAGGCTCCCCAGCCCAGGGTTCCAGTGCCAGGGAGAGAAGTCCCCATAGGTTATGGCTGTGAAAACCAGCAGGGTTTGTGGCTGAGTGAGATGGAAGGGGAGCTGGAGTCCCAGGTGCTTTTAAAGGGACAGTGCACAAACTTACCTACCAACGGAATCACTGGCTCTCAGCTCCAGTGCTGGGGCAGCAGCTGGAAAGCTGACAGGGACATGGGGAGTGGGGGAGGAGGAACAGGAAGGAACTGAGTTATCTTGCTTCAGAATGAGGGCTGGAGGGGCAGCTTTCTCCCAGACAGAGGAGCTTGTGGAGGCCATTGTTTCTTGGTTGAGACCTCCATTTTCCTGGTGTGCAGTGTACAGATGCAGGCACATGCCATATCTGAGTCTCCATTAAGCTTGGTGATTCCAAGACCTCAACCCACCCAACCTTTGGGAACACCCAAGCCATTTCCAGTGGCTTTTTTGTATAAACCACTTGCTTTGGTTCGCGCTGCGAACTTTCCTAGGGTCTCTCAAAGATTCGTGGAACCCAGACAAGCAGCATCTGTCTTGAGCATGTCCTATACCTCTGGCTAAGCAGCCTAAGCCCAGCACTAATAGCAGATGGCTTTGGTTCATGGCTTGGACTCTCGAGGCACCTCCAACCACAGTGCGGGTAGTGGCCATCTCTGGATTGCTTTGTAGTTCCTGCCAAGTGGCCCTGGGTGGGGCATAGGCTGTGGCTGAACTTGACCTGCAGCAGGTCCCCTCTCAGGTGGCCCTGAGGCTGGTGCACCTAGAAGCCAGCTTCAAAACAAGCTGGAGCATCACCCAGCTGCCTCCAAGGAGGATGCATCCAAGGGCGGAGTGGGCAGGCACCAGATCCCTGCTGAGGCAGATCTGCTCTGTAGGGTCAGCCCCTGCACATTACTCCTCCACTGTAGTCATGGCCAGTCCTCACAACCAATGAGCCTGAGTGTTAATTCTTCCGATGGTGCAAATAGCAACCAAGGCTCAACTGCAACAGGAGGGCATACACAACCCACACAAGGACACACCTAGAGTACGAGGCTCAGGTGACCAGGAAGACTATGCCACTGGGCCCCACAGGACACCTCTACATAAGGCCATTCTGCTAAGACCTACCTAATACACAGAAACAAACACAGAGAGGCTACCAAAATGGGGAGACAAAGAAACATGTCCCACATAAAAGAAGAGAACAAAGCTCCAGAAAAAGAACTAAACAAAATGGAGACAAGCAATCTACCAGATGCAGAGTTCAAAACACTACTTATAAGGATGCTAAGTGATCTCCTCAAGAAAGAGATAGGAAACATAAAAAAGAACCAGTCAGAAATAAAGCATACAATAATGGAAATGAAGAATACATTACAGGAAATCAACAGTAGATTAGATGAAGAAGAGGATCAAATTAGCAATTTAGAAGTTAAGGTAGCAGAAAACACCCAGTCAAAACAGCAAAATGAAAAAAGAATCCAAAAAAATGAGAAAAGTTTAAGGGGCGCCTGGGACAACATCAAACATAGCAACAGTCACATCATAGGGGTACCAGAATAAGAGAGGGAGCAAGGAATTGAAAACCTATTTGAAGAAATAATGATGGAAAACTTCCCTAACCTGGTGAAGGAAATGTACAAGCTCGGGAAGCACAGAGTCAAACAAGATGAACCCAAGAGCCCACACCAAGGCACATCATAATTAAAGTGTCAAAGGTTAAAGGCAAAGAATTTTAAAAGCAATAGAAAAGCAGTTAGTTACCTACAAGGTAGCTCTCATAAAACTGTCTGATGATTTCTCAACGAAAACTTTGTAGGCTAGAAGGAATTGGCAGGAAATATTCATTGATGAAAAGCAAGGATCTACAACCAACATTTTCTCTGCCCAGCAAAGCTGTCATTTAGAATCAAAGGACAAATAAAGAGCTTCCCAAACAAGAAATAGCAAAAGGAATTCATCACCACCAAACCAGTATTACAAGGAATCTTAGAGGGGTTTCTTTAAGATGAAAAAAAAGTAAAAAATATGAATAATAAAATGGCAATAACTCTATACCTAGCAACAATTACTTTCAATGAAAATTGATTTACTTCTCCAGTCAAAAGATGGTGGGAG